AAGGAGAATTCGAACTCTGAACCCGGGGCGGAGAGAGCGAAAGATGATAGCCAGAGAGGAGCGTTTGTGCCCGTGTTGAATTTGAAAGAAGAATTCGAACTCCGAACCCAGGGCGGAGAGCGAATGATTGCAGCCAAAGATGAGCGTTTGTGCCCATGTTGAATTTGAAACTAGAATTCGAACGCCACACCTGGGGTGGAGACAGCGAATGATTGCAGCCAAAGATGAGCGTTTGTGCCCATGTTGAATTTGAAACTAGAATTCGAACGCCACACCTGGGGTGGAGACAGCGAAAGATGGCAGCCAAAGATGAGCATTTGGGCCCATGTTGAATTTGACACAAGAATTCGAACTCTGAACCCAGGGCGGAGAGAGCCAAAGATTACAGCCAGAGAGGAGTGTTTGTGCCCATGTTGAATTTGAAAGGAGAATTCGAACTCCGAACCCGGGGCAGAGAGCGGAAGATGGCAGCCAAAGAGGAACATTTGTGCCCATGTTGAATTTGAAACGAGAATTCGAACTCCGAAGCCAGGGCGGAGAGCCCAAGATGGCAGCCAAACAGGAGCGTTTGTGCCTATGTTGAATGGGAAACCAGAATTCGAACTCTGAACCCGGGGCGGGAAGCCAAATATCGCAGCCCAAGGGGACTTAGGGAAAAGGGGTGGAATGCAACAGGGAGAGGGCAGAAATATTTGTAGTGTTGTTTTAAAAAAAATATGGAAATAAATAAAGTCTTTGCAAAATATGACTTCTTGCTTATAGAGGGGGTTGGACTAGAGGACCTCCAGGGTCCCTTCTACCACTGTTATTCTGAGGAGGAGGAGGAGGAGGAGGAGGAGGAGGAGGAGGAAAAAAACCCTTTCCTGCATGAGCAGGGGGCTGGACTAGATGACCTCCAAGGTACATTCCAACTGTCTTATTTATGATTCTGTAAGGGTTTCCTGCTGGAGCAGGGGGTTGGACTAGATGACCTCCAATGTACATTCCAACTGTCTTATTTATGATTCTGTAAGGGTTTCCTGCTCGAGCAGGGGGCTGGACTAGATGACCTCCAGGGTCCCTTTCCACCGCTGTTACTGCATGAAACGTAGAATCGAAAAATAGGGAAAAAAAAGCCAGATATGGAAATTGACAGTATTTATTGATGGATCGATCGGTGGATAATCTTATTGGGGCATCCGCCATTCCTTTTCGGGGCCGGCTTTTCCTCGGATCGGAGCGCGGCGGCCGCCACCGAGTCCTGCGGGAATGCTGCCTCAAAAGGGGATGGAGACCCCGATGACCCTCGGCTTCTTGAAGAATTTCTTGACCCGCTTCTTCACGCTATTCTTGATTTTCTTGAAAAATTTCTTGAACCGCTTGACCCGTCTGGGCTGGTCCTAGAGAGGAAGGAGAGGAGGGGAGAGGTAGTCAAGCCGGGTGGCCCAACCAGTAGGGGAACACTGATGACGTTCCCTAGTTGGGTCACGAGACGTCTGCAAGGAAACCACCCAGCTCTGAGAGAACCAGGGACCCCACAGTCGTTTTCCTTCTCCTCCTCCTCCTCCTCCTCCTCCTCCTCCTCCTCCTCCTCCCTCCCTCCCTCCCTCCCTCCCTCCCTTCCTTCCTTCCTTCCTTCCTTCC